TTGAGAGTGAGAGAGAGAGGAAGTGAGAAAGCAAGCCACCAGATTCAGGACTTGAACCCTGGTTGGCCATGTGGGAGTGTCCAGCGCCTTAATCACCACGCCACCTGCTGGTCCCCACATGGATAATTTTTTAACTGGTCTCATTAATACCATTTGATCAATCTTAAGGCAAAGAAAATGCCTTTTTATTTCTATAAAGAAGTCTATCTCTATTCTTTACCAGTGCTTTTATTTACTTTCGAATAACTGGTTCTCTAACCCGCTTGTTACATATTATTATAATGTTTTACCAGCTTAAGAAAAAATTTTTTTTCCGGTCAGTTTTATATACTAAAGATTTGAAAATAGTGGTGAGGGGCCAGCAGGTTGTGTGGTGGTTAAGGCACTGGACTCCCACTTGACCAACTGCAGTTCAAGTCCTGAATCTGGCGACTTGTTTTCTCCTTTTCTCTCTTTCTCTGTCTCTCTCTGGTGAGCACACATGCCCTATAGCAAATTTAGAAATATTAATAAATAAAATTACATAAAATAATTCTTTAAAAAATGGTGAACATTTTCATTTTTACCTTCTCAGGGTTTTGTTTTGTTTGTTAAGGTTTTTGCCGTAGGACGTGTGCGCTCACTGGAGAGAGACAGTGAGAAGGAAAGTAGAAATCCCCCGTGGGGGATGACCACACCGCAGTTTCTTCTCTTATTCTCCTCCTGAGATTTTGGGCACGCATGCACATGTGCCTGACGCGATTTTCAAACTGTCATGTCTGGGACTCAAACCACAGTCTTCCATGAGGAAGTCCAGCGCCTCAACCAGTACACCACCTGCTGGCTTCTCTTAAGGTATTTTTAATAATATACTTTAGTGCTGCCCAAAAGAATTTTGTGCAATAATGAAATTTTTTTTTCTTTTTTAGTTTGCCGTAGGATGAGTATGCTTGCTAGAAAGGATAGGGGGTAGAAATCACCCCCCATGGGAGATGACTATGCCACAGTCCCTTCTCCATCCTCTCGGAGTTTGGGGCATGCATACACACGTGCCTGGTGTGGTTTTCAAGCTGCCACATCTGGATCTTGAACCACCACCAGCTATTTGGGACCAAGCCACCTTAACCCCCATGCTACCTGCTAGCCCAGTGTTGGAAATGAGTTATTCTTGGCCAATATGGTCGGTAGTCACTAACTTCAGTGGGTACTGAGCTCTTGAAATGTGGCTACTGTGACCGAAGAACTACATTTTTTTTTTTTTTTGAGAGGTTTTTGCTATAGGGCGCATGCATTGGCCAGACAGACAGAGAGAGACAGAAAGTGAGAAATCACCCCCCAGGGAGGATGGCCACGCCGCAATCCCTTCTCCTCCATTCTCCTCTCGGGATCTTGGGCATGCACACGCGCCCGGCGTGAGTTTAAGCCACCGGGTCCGGGACTCAAACCACGGTCTACTACATGGGAGTCCAGCGACATAGCTATTATGCCAACCGCTGGTCCCAAAGAACTACATTTTCAACTCTATTGACTTGTAATTAATTTAAATTACCACATGTGGCTAGTGCGTATCATATCAGACAGTGCAGATCTGTGTAATTAAAATTTTCAATAAACAACTGCACATTCCTTGAGAACACCTGAAATTAAAATAATGGTGTTTTATTTAAGTCTTAATTTACTTTTTAAAAAGGAATGATTTTATTTAGCTTTATTTATTCACTTTTTAATTTGATCAGAGAGGGGCAGAGAGAGAGAGAGAGAAAGAAAGTGAGAAAGCAAGCTGCCAGGTGTCCAGGACTCGAACCATGTTTGACTCTGTGGGAGTCCAGCACCCTAACCACCATGCCACCTGCTGGCCCCCTTAATTTACTTTAACTTAGAGAAATATATCTCTCCTATTACTTTGGAGGCAAACTTTAGAAGAAAGTCAATTTTTCTCAGTCAAGCTGGTAAACGTTACATCTGTAAACAAAGTGACAAAGTTACATCTCTGGAGAAATGAATTAAACAGCAGTTTGATTAATAATTCTTGCTTAAATTTGCATCTCGCAGCGGGTGGCATGGAGTTTGGGTGGGAGTAAATTTCTCTGGGAGTATTTTCCCAAGTGAGTTATTCTTCTCATTTTGTATGTAATATGTCGTACTTTTCAACTCCCTTAGCACTTAGTATGGTATGGGTACAGTAGTATAAAATAATGTACTTACTGACCAGAGATACTTGAAAAATAATCACAATTTTTAAAAATTAGCCATGAAAACCCCCAGAAAACTGATGCTCTTTGTTCTAGAAATATTAGGTCATCAGGAAAGTCATGACATACCGTTTTTTTGGGGGGGAGAGGTTTTTGCTATAGGGCGGGTGTGCTCGCCAGAAAGACAGAGAAAGACAGAGAGATAGAAAGTGAGAAATCACCCCCCCAGGAGGGATGGCCACGCTGCGATCCCTTCTTCTCTGTTCTCCTCTTGGGATCTTGGGCACGCACGCACGCACACGTGCCCAGTGTGAGTTTAAGCCACCGGGTCCGGGACTCGAACCATGATCAGCTACATGGGAGTCCAGTGACATAGCCATTATGCTAACTGCTGGTCCCCATGACATATCTTTCTATGTTTTTCTATACCAAAAT